CGATCTCGACCTATCATTCGTGTAGTTAGCTCCAGATTTTTGACCGCCGCGATTGAGATACGCTTACGAAAATTGACCCAATGAGTTGAACCGGAAATCCGTTAGCCCGATTCTATCTTCGTCGAAACCTAAGGCTACTATTAATGATGAAAATGATGATGGTGATGAGATGGTGGGTGTTTTGTTAATGGTGAAAATGATGATCATGATGGTGGTGGTGGGCGTCGCGAAAGAGAGAGAGGAAATGACCGGTGGTCGTTGCCGGCGCCGGGGTCGTGGGTAGGCGGGGCTACGCTGGGCTGGGTTGGGATAAGGGGTAAGAAGTGGGTGGGTTTTTTTTTTTTTTTAAAAAAGGGGTATTTTAGGGATTTTACTTTTTCATCCCTTTTAAAACATTAACTATAGTTAATATTTCCTTAAAATGCTTAACTAATGTTACTACTGAATTAGTTTTACAAATTAAAGATTACCAAAAATAATTTGATATTTTAGTGTTTACCATTGAGAATAAATAAAACCTGATGAGTACTATTGAGAATTTCCCAAAAAATTAAAATTAATGAATCTTCTTCGGTATTAGTCCCTTAATTTTTATATTTCTTTCTTCTAATATTGTCCAGTAATGAATTTAAAAATATTATTATTCTATTAATAAAAAAAAATATTCAGTCTTTTGTAAATACTGATTAATTTAGGTTCTTCTAACAATGATAAATTAATATCTAATCAAATTTTTAAAGAACATAAATCTTTAACTAAAACAGAAATATGTTCACATACATTGAATTATTTATTAAAATTTAATTAGCAACAAATTATTGAATCATTTTTCACGTCCACCACTACTACAAAATTGACCAAAGAGACCATATCAAAATGGCCAATTTCATCAAAATGACCATAGGGGTGGTCTCTAGTTCACAAGTCTCTTTGGCCTAAGAGACCATTTCATCAAAAGTGGTCTCTTGGTTTAAAAAGAGAGACCACACTTATTTAGAATAGATGGTCTCAGTTTTTTAAATTTGAGACCACCTATTTCAAATAGATGATCTCAGTTTTTCAAATTATGAGACCACCTATTTCAAATAGATGGTCTCGGTTTTTCAAAAAATGAGTCCATCTATTTGAAATAGGTGGTCTCTTTCTTTCTTTTTTTATTAAAAAAAAATTAATCGTATTTTAATATATATATATATAATATTAATTAAACAAAAAAATACAATTCCTATACTTGTCACACTTACAACAAAGTACAAGTAGTTTATACTTTATACAAAACCCATACTTAAAACATACTCACAAATATTACAATCAATATCTTATAAAAAAATTTACAAAACCCACTTCAACCTACACCACTCCTTCATAATCGCCTATGCCAAATTCCGTGAGTTTGAAGAGTAGGCATATTGAGACCTGAATTTACAACTCTGAAACAACAAAAGGGAAAAAAAATTAGAAATATATGAACAAGGATTTCAAATTAAAATTTCAATTTTAATATCAACCTTTCAATCAAATGGAAAATATATTAGTAGGGTCAGCGGTTTGAAGCCATTTAAATAGGTGTTGACCAGTTTTAATAGACCATAACTCCATAATCTATATTAATGTATAATCCATAACCCATAATCCATTTCATGGTGCCGTTTGCGAACTTTCTTAGTAGGGTCAGACATAAATTTTTCTCATTGAATATTCAAATTAAACTATAGAGTACAAAATTCACCAAAAAGCATAAAAACCAAATAAATCAACCGATAAAACGACAGTAGCAAAATGAACTTCAAATTCAACAAAGCCAAAATAACCGCAATTTCTTATTCAATTGCTTTACATACTGTCAATATATAACCTTCCCATTAAACTCAACATGCATCAATTTCCCTCACTGTATAACTGAAACAAATCATCAAATAGCACAAAATCCAGAAAAATCAACAAAAAAAAACACAATGAATCAAAAACGAAGGAGAGAGAAAGACCTAAGATGCTTGAAAGTGACAGAAAGATCGGCAACATGAGATTTAATTTTGAGAAAAGCCATAACTTCGGAGTTGCGCTTGATATTCTCGATTCGCTGGAGTTAGTACTCCGTCATTTGATCGAAATCCGCCATTGCAGCCGGCGAAGAGAGAGAAAGACAAGGGTGAATAAGTGATTCTACTCTAAAATATGGTGATTTTTATGCCGTGTTTAATTGATTCGACATAAACACACCTTGAAGTTTAACCTCCATTGTTGTAGATTAAAGAAATAGGTGGGGTGAGACTTGAGAGTGGGTATTTGAGAGATGAAAGAGATAGAGAGTATAGAGGAGAGTGGAGGGTGGCGGCTACTCAAATGAGAGTAAAATATATAGTAACCCTAATTAAAATGGTAAAGTGAATTCCAGTTAGAAAATAAACTTAAAAAAAAAAGGTAAATGGGTGTCTCCTAAATAAATATTTTTTTATTTAATTAAGGAGAGACCATATCTCCTAAATAAATGGTGTTTTTTTTATTTAATTAATTAAAAATAAGGAGAGACCACTTCTTTTAAATAGATGGTCTCCTCCATTATTTATTTATTTAATTAATAAAAGGAGAGACCACTTATCCTAAATAAATGGTCTTTCTTTCATTTATTTTATTCATTAATAAAAGGAGAGACCACTTATCTTATATAAAGGGTCTCTCTCTTTATTTATTTATTTGATTAAAAAAAAGAGACTATTTAGTTAAAATATTGGGTCTCATGAAACCAAGAGACCACATATTTAATTAAATGATCTCTTGTTTGAGGTCTCTTTGGCCAATTTTGTAGTAGTGCACCCAACTAAAAACTTGGAAACAACAACTGTTATTTATTAATGATTTAAAATAAAGCTGTCTTTTATGTCCCAATGAAAATGTTACGCGTTACACTTAATTGAAATTAAATAATGAAGTAAATAGATTTTAGTAGTAACACATAATACAAGAAGTGTTATCAATTTAAACACTAATTGTGTCAAATTAAAAAGAATTGGAATTTAAATAATTAAAAAACTTTTCATATCCATAAGCCATGGTTTTTTTTTTTGTAACACAATATTAAATAATGATAGAAATAGATTATAATAGTAACCCATAATACAAGAAGTGCTATCAATTTAAATACTAATTGTGTCAAATTATAAAGAATTAAAATTTACATAATTGCTAAACTTTTCATATCCATCACCTATTTTTTTATGTAACATAATATTATTTAATTAGTGAAATTGTAGGAGAGATTTGTGAAATTTGATATGATACAATTTTAATTTGAGTAGTATATCACAATATTATCTAAAAGCTACTTAATTAATTACTAGATCGCAATGTTCAACCATTTACAATATGATAGACGTGTAAAATACTTTCGTTCCGTCAGTAGTTCATTTTTCTATTATCAAGAAATTATATTTGTAACTACTTTAATTCTAAAACCACTATATTTTGTTGTTCTTTGTTTTTATGATGGAATTACAAAACCATTTGCTCACCAATAGATTACAAAAGCCATTGCTCGTTAGCCCCTAGTACCTAGCCCCCAACCAGTTCTACCATTTGCACTTTCAAATCAATTATACAACATCTGAAATTTGCAAATTTATTTAAAATTACCCGTTAGCCCCTACTAATCCCCTAGGAGTTTTTATGCGTTGTTAATCGAATTTTCATTGAAGAAAACCTTATATAGAACATGCAAATTTAAATTTAGTGCTAATGTGTTAATGTTTAAAATTAATCAACAGAGACAACGACGTACCTTATATTCAAATAAATTCAAATGTGGGATGTGGCTTCTATGGTTGGTACTTAAATCACACACTTCAGAACTTCATTCTTGTAGAAATTTTGTTCGAATGGTAGGCAATGAAAGGATGTTTCTTTTAATGGCACTTTATGCCTAATTGTTGTTGAATAATGGTGAGCCTATGTTTAAAAAGGAATGCGAAAGGTTATTCATAAGAAAGTGGAGAAAGTGTACTTAAGAAATAAGTAATGGACCACATTCCCAAATTAATTTTTTTTAAAGGACTAAATCATTTAATTAAAATGAAGAGGTTGGTTGTCTTTTATGGCAATATTATGTCTTATTGTTTTAATTAATTTTCCATCTCCATATTTAATATTTGTTTATAAATATTAGGACATTTGATAATTACTTATTATAATTTTATAATAGGTTTTTTTGTTAATTTTTTTATAGAACTTTTTGGGGTACAAATAAAATTAAATTAAAATGATTTGTATTACACTAGGAAAAGAAAAACAAAAATACTTAATCGTAGTTGGTAATTATGGTTAATTTTACAAAAATGAATATACAAATTGGCTAAAAATATGAAATAATCATTTCTTATATTAAAAAAAAATAGAAAGTTGGATGATAATTTTACTTACACCGTTTAATAGTAATTTGTGTTCCATTATTATATTATTTTGACTCCAAACATAAGATCCATTTCGTTTGTACTCCCATAGCCGTTGTTAATCAATTTGTTATTCATTTGTCAATGCGCATTCATTGAATACAAATTCTAGATTGGACCTGTTATACATTAATTCTTAAGTCGTAAAAGTAATTCTTTGTTTACTAAGTATACTAAGTATACTAAATTTTGAATTGACCTTTAAATTACAAGGACCTTACATTTATACATTTCTAACCAATTACTAGTACATTAAAGTTATCATGTAACGGTTACTAATATATTAAGTAATTTTAATAGACTAAATTTTGAATTGATCTTTGAATTTACAAGGACCTCGGTTACTAATATATTAAGTAATTTATGCCGATATAAAGTGAGAAGGGGTTTTGGTTGATAAATTTCACTTTCCTAGAATACCCTTCTCATTTTCTTTTTCGTGTTCTTTTAAATTTTTGAAAAAACTACCACCTTTGAAAAAAAAATACCAGCTAGCTAATTTTTTTTTATTGCACACGCACGCCAATAATAATAATAAAAAAAATGAAACTTCACCAGTTTGCACAATGCCCAACTATAAAGTAGCAATATTGAAATAACAAACAGCAACCATGTCAATAAGTCGTAATTATCCATTCTATCTAATACTAATATAAGTACTTTATGCCAGACAGGTACATTAATCAACCATCAATGAAAGCTGTATCAATACATAAAAACCAATATCCAACCCTTCTTAAACGTCCTTCATAGTGTCTGCTAACTCTTTACTAAGCTCGTTCAAATCAGCCAACAGAATGTTGGTGCACAGTACCTTTCTGTAGAGCTCTTCATGCCCCTGGTAAGCAATTGTTTGAAAACAATTCTTAGATTACAAACATAAAACTACTGGCACCAAAGTACATAGTTATCTAACTACTACTTACATGCATCCAATCGTTAACATCGGTGAAGATGTTGTATAAAAATAGCAGGCAGAGCATCCCTGAGTCATGAGCTTTCTTTTCCTTGGGCAATTTACTGAAATTTGACACTTCATACAACTCTAACTTACTGGGTATTTTGGTTACTATGGAGGAAAAAACACCTTCTGCAAATTCCAGCTGAATATAATTTAGGCAATAGTTAGTTACATAAAACACTAAACAATTACTAATTTTCAATCTAAGAAATGAACAAGATAAAAAATATGTCATTAACAATAGCCAATGGTAGGATATAGTGAATTACCACCATCGGGAGTACTTTTGAATGAATTGAATGGGGATATGGATTCTTGGTGTCAAAGACAACAACCATTTTTGCTACTTAAACTTATCAAGTACAATGTTCTTCTTCCATTATGCAACACCGGAAAGAAGACCTGCATGTGTGTGAAATCATGCGAAACCAAAATAATTTAATTAGTTTTGTCAAATTAAATCACCATACGACATATTTAATTAGTAACCTAATCAATTCTTTTAATAACAAAAAAATAGATATATGCTAAACATAAACAACCAAACTTAAATCGAAAAATTAAAAATTGAGCATGATTGTGTTACCCTTTTATGGTTTTCCAATCGATCACAAACTGCAGTATCAAGTGCAATGTCCTTCACACATCTATTCACAATGTCCCCAACATCGCCTTGGGCACTTAGTTTCTTTATAGCCTCATCCTGCATGGATATGGGGACATAATGTGTTTAGCATATTATACTTACTACTGCCTACATCCCAACAACATATGACTAAGTTTGAAAGTATTTACCACGTAAGTTGCTGGCATCACGTAAACGTGTCTCCCATTCTTTGGATCTCCACCAGTGAATTCATTCAACAACTTCCCAAAGGCTTCCATAATAAGCTCAGATATCGACCCATTCTTCTTAAACGAATCGTATATAATGCCGCGAGTCACAGTTAATGTTCCAAACTTAAACATCACTGAATTTCTCAACCTTATTATTTCAATAAAAAAAATTGTATCAAAAATACAATTCAGTCTTTGACACATAATTGGTCAATTATAACAATGCATGTAATATTGTCTTTGATAATGACACTTACGATTCATCTCCTTTTTTCTGCAGTATGTTCTCAGCAAGTCTTCTAGCGGTTGGGGACATACTAGGTCGTTTTTTAGATTGAGGTCGATCGAGGTCTTGATGAGGATCTGCTATACGTTCTCCCTCATCCTCCTAAAATGGCAAACAACAAAAAATTATCACTAAAACTAGTTGCATATTAGCATGTAACAAATGTATAAATAGTAGCTTTTTTTGAGGTACCTCATCTTGAGGTCCTACCTCCCCATCAGGGCTATCATCTTCGGATGGTCCATCTTCACCATCAGGTTCATCTTCCTCAGGATCCTCCCCAACAGGTGTATCATCCTCAGAAGGTCCATCATCACCATCAGGTTCATCTTCCTCAGCAGGTTCATCATCATCTTCAGGTTCATCTTCCTCAGCAGGTTCATCGTCACCTTCAGGTTCATCATCACCATCAGTTTCATTGTCTCCATCAGGTCCATCTTCCCCTTCAGTGCTTTCATCATCATCATCTTCCCCGTTGGTGTCCTTGTCTGATTCATTATCGTCGCTTTCATACTTTTTCTTCTTGGCAGCCCTCTCTAAAACCCTTCTTTTTTTTGTATAGTTGGTACTTTTCCGGGGTTTCAATTTTTCTTCCTGGAAAAGATTATATAACACAAATAAGCAATTTAAATAATACTCATATCGAGTCAGTAACCATTATTTCAAACAGGATAACACCTTATCAGAGTCTGACTTAGATTTAGATATTTTCCTCTTATCACCCAATTTGGCAGATAATTCCTCTGGGTCGTCCTGCAACATTTAAAATGCAATTTTCAAAGTGTATTTATGTGGGATAATTAAGTAACATTCTAATATTCATTTTAAAAAATATATAGTTCCATAAAATTCTATAACAATCACCTCATCCTCATCCTCATTCCTTCTCTTCTTACCCAACTTGCCTCCTTTCTTTTGTCTTTTGGCCTGCGACATTGATAAAAATATTTATTGTTATTAATTTAGTAACGTTGATCAAAATAATTCTAGCTTAGCTGTCACATTGACAATCAAATTAATTGTGATTAAAATAATAACCATGATAAGCAAAATTATTATGTGATGACTATATTAATAACCACAAAATATATGAATGTGGTCAATCTATAAATTCATAAATAGATTAGCCACACTCATATAAACAAACTTATAGATTAGCCCCATTCATAAATAGATTAGGTATAGCTAAATTTGGAACAATGAGAAACATATTTCTAAATTACGAGTAACTAAATATATGTAATTCTATATTAATTGTGATTAATTTAGTAACCATGGAAAACATAATCCAAGAAGAATTAATCATGTGTACTATTAGAATAGTTACTAGATCAAACATGTTTATACTTGCTACTATTCACGAAAAACTATACCTGCTCATCTCTTGAAGATGAAGCTGCCTTAGATCTTTTCTTCCCAACTGAAATGCCCTTTTGTGGCAGTCCTTGTCCCTGCTAAATAATTTAAACCAATAAATGTTGGTTAAAGTACCAAAAATGTCAATAAAAATTCATTGAACTGAAACAATAAGTCAATAATCATTCCACATCAAACCGTTAATTAGCATAACTATCACCTCTGTTGTACTTGCATTCTTCGACCTTCTTTAATTAGCTACCACTGTACCTTTTCTCTTACCATTGTCATCCTGACATGTAGTTCAAAACAATGTTAGTTTTTAACCTAGTAACTCTATCAACAAGATAAAAAATAATTGACCAAATGGAGATAGCACCTCATTGTGTCCTTTATTCTTACTATTGACCTCTTTGGCCTTTCCTTTTTTTGGAGGCCTTTTTCTGATATTATCCACTCTCGTCTCACGTAATTTTTTTATTTCACCTTCATGCAATACAGATTTTGATGTAAAGCATGGTAAATTTGGAACAAAGGCAAAACATATCTTAATATATGATTATAAGACTTAGACTGTCACTAAGTTCTGAACCAGAACTGCAATCTCTCAGCCACTCTGGAGACTCGAATGACTCACCGATCGGATATGCTTTTCCATAAACGACATCACGCACTACCTAATATTATGACACGATGTATTAACTTTTATGAACACACTTGTACTTTTTTTATCTCATTGTTTGCTTAAAAATTATGTATATTATTAGTTGTATGGTACGACATAATTAAATAACGATCTTGTGTTATACCTCAGCTGCACCAAATTTTCCATCTGTTCCCTTATCAGCGGCAATAGCAGCATTAACACACCATTGTTCCCAAGCCCCTAGCCTTGGTACACTTTTGTCCCACATCATCCCTCTTCCATCTATGTTAAGACGATCAAGGTATGAAATATGCCACATAGTGTGAGTAACTATAGTCAGTTTGCATGAAAAGAAGTCAATTTGCACTTAAAATACAAAGGTTAGCACTATTAAAGAACTGCACCTACCACAAGAACCAAAGGAGATCCCTTAAATCCCTTGGCAGGATCACTTCCTCCATACTTGACCATCCAATCAAGTATGTATTTGGACCAGTTATACCTCTTTGCTTCATTTATGTACTTGTCTTTCAGCAACCAACAAAGGCTAGGGCTAATGTTGTTACTTGTTGTAGTGCATAAAACATTACCCAAAACACAGAGGACAAAGTGTTTAAGAAAGTCTTTGTTTTCCACAGATGTACCATGCACTTGTTGTGGACAACTGCAAAGCAGATCCCCCCTGAATTATTGTAACTGCTCTTCAAGTCTTGGAATTTTTTGTCAGTGACATCCATTTCAGGAATGCTCAAAGTCAGGGGTCCATATGGAAGTCCAGTGATCCAACCCACCATCTCCTCGTTTATTGTTATTTCATAGTCGTCTCAGATTCGTAACACTTTTCGTTGTGGATCCCATCGACTGTATAAATATGCCAAAAAGTCCCTGTCAAAGTGCTTAATTTTTATGTTGAGAAATGTCCTGAAAATTGTTTTCTTCACAAACTTCTTTCGCCCTTCAGTCATGGCTTTGATAGCAACTTGCACATCTTTGGGATATGCTCGTACGATCGGATACTGTAAGACGAAAATTAATCAAATAATCAAAATTATTTCTAAAAAACAGATACATTTAAACTACACAATGTCAAAATAAAAAAGTCTGAGAAACTATAAATTTAAATTTGTTCTTACGTTCTTATTTCCCTCTGACACTCTCGGTATTCCACGCGGCCTCTTTTGTACTTCCTCGGCTTCAGCATCCCCCTAACAACACACCATCATTGATTCAGAAAATATGTCTACTTAATTTAGTTCATTTTATCATATCAATTACCATGATGGATCCAAACAAAGTTAACAGTAACACTACACACAACTATTAGTAGGTTACTACAAATATAAAAGTCGTTACCAAAAAATAAAACAAAAAATATAATCTATACAGTACTACCATTGAGTAATCTATATTTGCTATCATAATCCGATTTTCATTCATTAATTGAACACCATTTAACAGAAGAGTTTGGAACCATACTTCTGTACTTGCCTTCATCTTTGGTCTTCCCGGTTTGCGTTTTGGTTTATCAGTTGTTGCAGATACATTATCATCAATCTTCGACGAACTAGATTTGTCAAATGGAACAACTTGTGGAGAATGAATTTCCTGTGTAACAAATGAATGAAATTTTGTTCTGAGCTAAATAAATGCAACAAGAGATCCAAACAAGTTACACAAAATCAATCTTGCTCTTTCCTATGTCACACACAATTAATCTTCCGCTCTACTATGTTACTAAACAAATGATTTACTATTATCACATAAAGTCACAACGCTTAAAGTGTAGAATTCTTGTATAACGCGACTGATATCATTTACAATGTAATCGTTACTAAATAAAAAAACTAATTATTATTACAATAAGCAATTTACTACCTGAGGTCGTTTATTTTTCCTCCCTTGCTGACTTGCACCTCCTGGTTGCTTGTTCATGGCCATTTCCTTATCCCCAGTTAGATCTACAACTAATGTAGCTGCTGCGCTTTCATTTGTCTTGCCCACAACATACTCAGGCTACAATAATATTTCAGCAATTAGCACACAAATTCACATATCCATATCACTATTTAGTCTTTAGAAAAGACATCCAAATACGGCAATCAACATTTGCTCCAAATCATTTAGTATTATTATGCGTTGCAATTACACTTCAAAACAAAGAAATCATGACAGAATACAATTTAAGAACTTTTAATGTATAGCTAAGCGACCATACTTGCATGGCCATATCATTTGGTTGGATGGTTGCATCATCCTTTCCTGGACCAGCATCCTTCTCTTAAGCACCATCCTTTCCTGCACCATCATGTTTCTCTTCAGCTGCATCCTTTGAACCATCCTTTCCTGCACCATCCCTTTTCTCTTTTTCACCATCCTTTGCACCATTCTTTCCCGCACCATCCTTTCTCTCTTCATCACCATTCTTTGCACCATCCTTTCCTGCACCATCATGTTTCTCTTCAGCACCATCCTTTGAACCATCCTTTCCTACACCATCACTTTTCTCTTCTTCACCATCCTTTGAACCATCCTTTCCTGCACCATCACTTTTCTCTTCTTCACCATCCTTTGCACCATCCTTTCCTGCACTATCATCTCTCTCTTCATCACCATTCTTTGCACCATCCTTTCCTGCACCATCACCCTTCTCTAGATCACCTCCCTTTGCACCTCCTGCCATCTTATCTGCCATGTCTTTACTTGGTTGACGTTCCTCTCCTCACTGGTTGTGGGAATGTTGTCATGACCTTGTAGTAGTTTAAATATGAAAAAGGGGTTCAAAGTTATAATTTACATAAAAAAAATTAATATTTAGCATATACATCCAACATACAATATCAATCTTTTGCATTAAAACCCTATGTTTTATTATATGATGCAAAGGATATGTGATACTAAACAAATGGTTACCGAATACTATTTCATAACTATTAATCTAAAGCTGAAAGACCATACCTGCATGGCCATATCAACTCTTTGGGAAGGCACATCATCCTTTTGTGCGTCTTCCACCATTTTCTTTGCTTGACGTTCTTTCCCCCCCTCCTCATTGACTTTTGGAATGTTGTCTTGACCCTAAAATAGTTGGAATATGAAATTTTAATGTACATACAAAATTAATATTTAGTATATACATCCAACATCATCAATCATTTGCATTTAACCCCTTTGTTTTATTATAATTGTCAAAGGATATGTGATATACAAAATTAATGTACAAACAAAATTAATATTTAGTATATACATGCAAATAATTGTAAAAGGATATGTGATACAAAACAAATCGTTACAGAATAAAATTTAATAACTATTAATATAAAGCTTACCTTTATGGCCATAACCATTGCTTGGGGGGGCACATCATCCTTTTGTGGATCAATTGGCTGTGAACCTCTTGCCACCACATCTCCACTGGCTTCTTCTTCCATTGGACCACCAGTATCTTCCCCAAATCCTTTTAGGGTAGCCAGATGATTCCCTGCACCACTTTCATTTATCCTATCTCCAACATCCTCATTTTTCGTCAAATCACCCTTACCTGACACAACTACAACACCTACATTCTTGTTCCCTTCCCCAATAACCTTCTCTGTCTCATTACCCTTCTCCATCCCTTCCACAATACCCTTCTCTTTCTCCATACCCTTCTCTTTCCCTTCCTCAACACCCTTCCCTTCACCATCAATCGGATGTAGTCCACTTAACGCCATTGCATTTGATTCTGGAACAACCTATACCACAACAGTACCAATTACAATCTTCAATATGTAATGAATTGCTAGATAATTTGTTTCTAAACAATTAACAATTATATACAAAGCCCAAAGTACTAAATTGACTTTAACATTAATTTCAATACACATAAATACATTATATTTCCAGATTTTTATAGTAATTAGAAAATCCCTATGTCAAGTACTTAAACAAAAAAGTTTGTAAGCAAACCTTGCTAGACGAGTCACCCATGGTGATGTCTACATCTTGTGTTGATGGTGTTGCTTGCGAAACTTGCCCTGTTCCACTTTCATCTATTACTCTTTCGTTCCCTGACCCTCCTACATTAATACTTTGTGCGTTTTGCGATAAACTTTGCTGGTTTTTTCCTCTACTTTTGCATCCCCTAAAGCCTTTGTATCATCATCACCATCTACCTCGACATAATCGTGTGGCGGGGCAACTAATTCCTTTTGATCTTTTAAACTGTAGGCCCAAAAAAAAAAACTTTTAATTTCATTGGATTTCCATGACATTAGTGGTTATGATAAACGAGACAAAATTATATACAATTGAATTTAACTAGATAATATTTGTATATATCATGCAAAATTTATGTTCAAACCCACGGCAAAAACTCTACAACAAGATTTTTTTGGAGGTTCTTCTTGATAATTGGTAAAAACAATTAATTAAACCCAGAACTTCATTAGTTATCACAAACTTGAGAAACAACTTTGCATTTTTAATCAATGAAAATTGTGTACAATTTGACTTACCTTGACGATGATTCTTCCATACTCTCCAACTATTGAAATGCTTCACTAAAAAACCGCTCTTGAAGTTTACAAAAGATAGAATACTAGAGATTTCTTTTTTTGTTGAAAATATATTTGTGGTTAGTTTTGTTTATTTACCTTTGTTTTTGACAGAAAATTTTAAAAATGTTGCTAAGTATGGTTTTCTTGATTTGAGAAGGAACAATTTTTTTTTTTTTTTTACTTTTTTGTTCTGACAAAAGAAGAATTAATGGGGATGGTGAACCGTCATAATTATCTCTCCTTGGTTTTATTTTTTTTAATCAAGTCATAATTGCCATTTACTAGCGTTTTTATTAACTTTTACCAAAAAAATTGAATCCACCACTAAAAATTCAAATAAAAAATAAATGAAATTTATTTTCATTCTAGGGCTCCGTGAAGACGTCAGCACTGGTACAATGGGTTTTCTAAAGTTACACTCTACCTTTACCATCTATCAAATCAAAAATTTTAGCCTTTTAAGATTTTTTTTGGTTACCCCATTAAATTGAATAAAAAAATATTTTCTGGGATTTACAAACAGGGGTGTACAAAAATTGGCCCGGACCTGAACCGACCTGAACCGGACCGGACCTGACCCAGACCTGTTGATTCAGGTCCGGTCCCGGTTTCTTAAAAATCCAGGTTTCCGGTCTCGGTCCAAACCCGGGGTTTTCAGGTCCGGACCTGAAACCCGGGAAAATCGTAATTAAAAAAAAAAAAAAAAAGAAGAAAACCAAACTCTGAAAAATTGAAATTGAGTTTTCGTGGACTTATTTGTATTTTCGGTGGACTCATTTGTATTTTTGGTGTTTGAGAATCGGGACTTTATAGACTTTATGTAGTTTTGTAATTGATAATTTTGGTTTGTATGTAATTATTAAATTATGCAACAGGTCTAAAAATCACAAAACAGGTCCATATGCAGGTCCAACGGGTTTTGTATTAAAAAAAAACGAAAAAGACACAAAACAGGTCCATTCAGGTCCAAAGCCGGACCGGACCTGATTTTTCAGGTCTGGCCCGGAACCGACCTGTTAATTCAGGTCCGGTCCCCGGTCCTCATAATTACCCAATTCAGGTCCCCGGTCCAAACAGGTCCGGTCCAGGTCCTGTCCGGTTTTGGACCGGTGTACACCCCTATTTACAAACCCTATTTAAGTTAATTTTTTCGTTTCTAAAAAGTACAAAAACTGATTTTTGTTACGAAATTGTATATTGATAAAGGTGTACAAAACTTACTAAGTAAGTCTGAAAAAATAAAAATTTAACATGTCATATTTATTTGTAAAATGATTTATTTTTTTTTACAAAGACTTAGTCATATGAAATTATTTTTTCTAAACTTGGAGAATTAAAATTGTTTAGCAAGTATAAATACCACTTGCTACAATTAAGCATATCACAATTATAGCTGCTAAAAGATGACACGACACGGGAGTAACTTTTTTTTTTTTTGTAGTGTTCCACAAGGTTCATCAATTGGCATACTCCGGATTTACAATGTATCGTATGGGTCCATAATTTACAATTACATCGTCAATATTGAGCCTAATTGCAGAAGAGATCAAATACATGTGTTTTACGTTTGTATCAAGATGATGTCAACAATTGTTACCTTTGTACAATTGTGGACACTAGGAATTTAAAAAGTTGATGATTGTTACCAAATATTAAAGCATATTTACATAGAACCAATAGATATTTGATATTAAAAAAATGTGCAATCGAGTAATATAGATATCTTACGTTGGACACCAGATATGCGTGTATTTGACAGCTTATTTCGTAATAAAACTATTACGCTTTAGATCCCACAATAAACATTACAATTTAGGAGATGGGTAAATCCCTAATAAAGAAAACAAAAACAACGAATGACATTAAAAAGGAAAAAATAAGATTCACGAATTGAAGCTAAATGTTATTAATAGTAAAAGATTAAATTTAAGATATCCAACATAGTGATCAATAAAATACGTTTTTAAAAAAAAAACATAAACAAAAATTTGCAACATTCTTTTTAATTTTTTTAAAAAAATTTCCTTTATTTGAGGGCAAATTATTTCCACCTTATGACAAGTATTAGGAAGTTTAAAAATAATTTTCAAATAAACAAAAGTAACAAAGAAGTAAGTAAAATTGTTTTCCCTATATAAAAAAAAGGAAATAAATAGAATTAGTTCATGGACTTGAAATTTTATTAACCGTTTTCCATAATGAATTGAAATACAATTTCTCATTTCAAATAAAACCCTATTGAAACTGCATCTAACCTCCCAACTTCATTCTTATCCCATTTTATCCCTTTATTTTTCTATCTCCAACTTCCTTTTACCTTATTATCCTTTCTCTTTACATTTAATGGCAAAGTTAACCATGTGGTATGGCGGTGCACTTGAAACAAATCCGATTCGAAGGTATGTCGGCGGGTCCGCTCATAATTTTACCTTTGAAAAGGAAGAGTTCACAATCGATAATTTCAAATCAAAGATTCACGACTTGGGGTTCCCAGGTATAAATTAAGGTTCGTAGCGTCCATGGAAGATTTACCAATTCAGCTTTACGAAATTGATAAGATGAGGGACTTCAAGCAACTCAGAAAGATGGTGTTCGAAAGCGGACATGTGAATGTTTTCATTGAAGACAAATCTAAGAGAGCCAGACCAAATGAACCTCAAGTTGAACACCTCAGTTCATCGTCACAGCATGAACAAGTGGGGTCCATGGTGGGAAAACACGATAACAGAGGTCAAACAGGGCAAAGTTCGACAAATCCTACTGGAAATCCAAATTGTGGAATAGATAACGATCAGGTTAATTTTTTTTTTCACACATGGGAGTTATATTTTATACGGGTTTTGTTGTGAGTAAATTGTTAGTCTTTTTTTGTCTATAATGTTTTAAAAAAATTATTTGGTGATATCAAATATTATTCTTATTATTTTTTGGGTGATTTTATTGTTTAATTCAGTCTGCATTTTTTGCTATTTCACCATTGTTCATGCTATTTATTGGCACATATATTTACAAATGTATAGAAAAGTAATTGGTGTACTTGTTCGTCATGAATATATTTTTGTCCCTTTTATAATATAATATCGTAATGGACATTACTGTTACTAAATAATTTACTATCAATGTCAATTTATCAGTCAACTAGCACTATAGGTAGTGAAGTCATATTGTTTGCGACACTTCAACTAAAGTCTATTTTTTAAGACTATTATATTTGTGTACATTGATTGCATTTCAACATGTTTATATAACAAACTCAGATTTTAACAAAGTTTACATAATTGAATATCATGCATAATAACCAGTTTTACTATATAATGTTCTATTAATTCTAATATAACTATCGTAGTAATGCCCATTATTGTTACTATATAATGTTCTATTAATTCTAATATAACTCATTAATGGTACTAGTGCTCAATATTTGCCAGTCCAATACTGACGAGGGTTAAATCGGTCGCTACAATCTAACTCTCAATCAAACAATACTTATAAGAACACCCTATAACCAAGTACAATGGCAAATAAAGGTTCGGTCCACGAGGAACGAGAGTAATTGCAAATCAATCTTAAACCTAAGCTAGTTCGAAATCAATGGAAAATGGTGTTCTAAAATACTACTAATAAGATGGGATAAACCAGATAAACTAAGACACTAGGGAAGACGGGAATTCACCAAACCATTGGTAACTACGCAACAAGGAATCACAGAGACAAACGGGATATGCAAAGACTATATGTCTGATCAATATCATGAGGTAGGAAGACAACGGGCAATATTAAGCTTGGATTTCTCATGCACTTAACATTACTCGATACATAATCAAACCACATTCAACAATGAAATACTCAATTCACAATCTCTTGTTCAAATCAAGGATATCATGCAATCAAATTCAAGATTCTAGGTTAGCTACTCCTATTATAATGAATTAACATGCAATCGCATATAATCAATTTAATCACAATCCGTTTATCAAAATCAATCCTCAATTACATAGGTTACCTAGGCCGGGTTTCATCCCGAAACCCTAGCTAGGAGACTACTCACACATATTCATAATCAAAGCAATAATGAATTCCAAAAGCATAATAGATATAAACATGAATTCTGATTAAGGAATAATAAAGCTTGATTAATAAACAAGAATGAATAATACCAATTGTATTGATGCGAATCAATGGAAAAGTTCAGAACTTTGATATCCGTCGTCAATGAATAATACAAAGAATCTTCACAAATCTTGCTTCAAATCAATCCAAGAAAACTAAAATCGCTAGAATAACCTCTAAGAAAACTAATGAATCTCTAATACTAAGAACGTTCTCCAATAACTCTCTACAAAGGCTCTCAAAAACTATCTCTAAAACTGTCCCTGCAATCCTCTTAAAGTCGGGCCTTATATACGTCTTCTAATTCGGAGAAGTCAAGCGCGCAGTCAACCCTGGATCAGCACGGCCGTGCTGTATTTGGCACGGCCGTGCTAGCTTGTCAGTAGGTAAACCGGATTTCTTCTTCAATTTGGCACAGCCGTGCTATATATGGCACGACCGTGCAGCTTCCTGGCACGGCCGTGCTAAAAATGACACGGCCGTGCTGAATATGCTCTAGCACGGGGCTCATACTGAAGCTGACACGGGCACGGGCAACATCTGGCACGGCCGTGCTAACGGCCTGCACGGCCGTGCGGGTGCGTGGATACTGACACGGCCGTGTTATTGGCTTGCACGGCCGTGCTGCCTTGCCTAGGGTTGCTTGCTTATAGGCCAGCACGGGTGTGCCTATGGTAACACAGCCGTCCTGCCTGTGCTATGTAATCAATGCACGACACTTGAACTTCCTTAACTCCTCGGACTTCGGTCAAGGCTAGCTCGGTTACGCATCAAGGGCTCGGGATCCGATTAAACTCGGTTGATATTACCTGAAAACACATCAAAAACAAACCGAAAACCCGTGAAGCACGTAATATGGGGGACGTAAGCATAACAAGGTAATATTCGGCCAAAACGGCCCCAAATACATCCAAAATCATCCTAAAATATGCTCTAAAGCGCGCCCTAAAGTGCGCTTGTCAAAACCCCCCAAGCTACACTTTTGCTAGTCCTCGAGCAAAAACCAAGGGAAACACACACAAGATCAAATAAACTATGCCATTGCGTACAAATCAAATTAAGCACGGAATGAAATCAATGGATCCTACTTAGAACAACCATGCACAGAATGAAAACTCACTCAAACAAGCAACGAGACACACAATCCAAGATATCGTTGATCAAATGCGAACAAAACCTAAACCAAGCATAGAGAACAAAGAAATCATGCTTCCCTCTAAACCCAACCAAACCGGCCACGTCCTCCCCTTTTGCTTCAAATCACCACCCTAATTGGCC